TTTAGTGACAGGCACGTCACCAGGAATTCACAGGCCCAGTCCCAAGCTGAGGGTAAAAGCCAAACTACAGCTCAGGATGAAGAGTGAGGGCGGAAAGAAAAGGGAGAAAACCAGCATAGCTGCTACACCCTGGACAGGGTTGGAAGGGGCTGAAGGTCAAAGCCAGGTGGGCTGGGTTCACATCCTGCCTCTCCCTTCTGCCAGCTGTGAGATGCCTCTCACACCTTGGGGCCTCGGGTTCCTTACTTTAAAATCACAGGATATAAAAATAATAATGTCTCCTTTGTGTGTTGCGTGAGTGTTAAGTGAGCAGTTACTGTGAGGTGCTCAGAGTGGTCTCTGGCTCCTAGCGAGCAGTCCGAATAAGCACCTGCCCCCTGTGGCACCCAGAGCTGTGGGTACCTGGAAGGCGAGCTGTTTGTTAGTTTTCCAAGGGATGTGATAGAAGAAGTGGTCGTGGACTGGGGCTCCTGTCACTGTGGGGTGGGCAGGGGCCTTCACATCCTTTGCAGGGCTGTTCTGAAAGTTGAGGCAAACACACAAGAATTAATAGAAGTAAAATGCAAAGTGGCATTTGCCCTTTTGAAAGCCAGTGGGAAAAGGGGCCATGGGCACAAGGGCTGACTGGGCAGACCTTGAGCGGGGACATTGCAGGGCAGAGTGAGGCAGAACCTGGGCTCCCACCCTGCTCCTGCCACTGGGCACTGTGTTCAAGGACTACCACAAAAGAAGGCAGTAAGCAGAAACAGCGCTCTTCACTCAGACTGCCCAGCATACTTGCATCTGCACCCAGTGGTCTATATGTGTGTTTTATTCATCTGCCCAGCAGTCTTGTACTGGAATTTGGCTCATCTCCATTTCTTTGTTGTTTTTTGAACTCACTATGTAGCCCAGGCTGGCGTTGGACCCATGGTGATCCTTCTGCTTCAGCTCCCTGGTGGGTGCTGGGATACAGGTGTGCGCCACCTTACCTGTCTCTAATTCTCATCTCAAAGGGGCAGATAGTAACTGCCCACCTCTTCTTATTTTGTGAGTCTCACGCAAAACAGTGTGTGTGGCAGAACTGTAAACCGCGACTCGGCAGTTACATGTGACTTGCTGTGTTCAGTGCTGTTGGAAAGGGAGAATCTGCAGCCTGGGCATGTGGGGCTGTGGGAGCTCAGGCCAATTATTTGTCTGGGAGGCTGGCCTGTGCTGTCTTGGGGTGGGTGCAGGTGGGCTGCTGCTGTGGGGGAGGTCAGAAGTCTTCATGGTCACCTGGAGGAGCCTGGCCATGCATGAGAATTAGGGCAAGAAGAGAGAAGGAGAGGGAAGAGGAGGAGAGGGAGAGAGAGAAAGAAAGGGAGAAAGAGAAACAGGAAGAGAAAGAAAGAGGGAAGGGAGGAAGAAAAAGAAGGAGAGAAATGGAGAAAGAAAAAAATAGCAAAAGAGAAGAGAAAGAGAAAGAGAAAGGGAGGCAAGAGAAAGAGAAGGAAAGAAAAAGCAGCAAAAGAGAGAAAGAGAGGAAAAAAAGAAAGAGAGAAAGGGAGAGGGAGAAAGGGAGAAAGCCAGAGGAAAAGAAAGAGACAGAAAGAAAGGGAAAGAGATGGACACAGAGGCAGAGAGTGGAGCAGGCCCCAGAGAGGCCACTGAGAGCCAGGACTCGCGGGCCAGCAGGAGCCGCAGGAGAAGCTGCTCTCCCCACCTCCACCTTCCTGGCCTGGCTGGGTGTCCTGGGCCCTCTCTTGCACAGGGTTGTCCCAGACCAGGAGCCACTGCTCCTCTTGAGGCTGGAGTGGTCACTGCTACCCCAGGGGTCCTTGTTTCTGGACCTTTTCAGAAACAGATCCACCAGATAGGGGCTGTTTAACAGAAACCAACAGTGTAACCAATTTAGGATGGCAATATTTTTACTTAAACAAACTTGACATTCTATCTCTTTGTTAAACATATTTTTCTATAATGACATAATGTAAGACTTTATTTTATCTTATGTTCATAACTCAGTTTCAGAATAACAATCATCATAGAAAAATATGGTTACTGAAAGCTAAGATTTCTTTGTAGTTTTTTCTGCCTGGCCATACCCACTAGTGACGTATAAATGGCTGAATTTTCAAGTTATTTCTGTGTGGCTATGCCAACTTATACAGGGGTAGGTTTGCTTTTGTTTTTGCTTTTGCCCTTTAAATGTCTGTTTCCACTTTTTTTTTTTTTTACATTCAAGTATTTTATTAGTGGAAAAAGGGTAAGAGCAGAAAGAGGGTTGCAGTCTTGAGCTTTTCTAGGCTGTATTCCATCTTTTAATAGTAGACATAATACAAATGCAAAAGCTTATTCAGGCATAGCTTGAGGAAATGTGAAATTCCTTTTATTAATGCTGTGTGAACACTGGAAATGATAAATATATCTTTGCTTGGTAGTGTGACAACCATCAGACCTTTAAGGAGACATATTCATTTTAAGTACTTGTGTAAGTCTTTGCTGATGTCCACAGGAAAACATAGACTTCATTTCTCTTTGTTCTTTTGAGGTAAAAATCTTGTTTCTTTAATACATTTGCTGAATGGCTTATGTATTTTCATAAACTTCAAAATAATTGAAGGTTAAATTATGATATCAGAGGATGATGACTTTTAATCATCCTGAAATCTCAGATTCTCACTGAAGTCTGGCTTGTTCAGAGGTTCCAGTTATATTCCTGGGAGAAAGAACTTCATATTATGCACCAATATGATGTGTTTGTGGTTGGATGTTTGTTTGTATGTTTATTATAAGAAATTGTCTGAGAAGACAGATGTCTCCAATTAGGCAGAGAGACAGCATAATTTCTTACTCAGTCTTTTATTCTGTTCAGGCCTTCCGTGAAATGGATAGAACTCACATACATTGAGAAGGGAAATTTTTGCTCAGTCTAACAATTTAAATGATAATTTTGTAAGAAATATAGGCACACATAGAAACAATGTTTAGCAAGTATCTGGGCAACTCAGGACCCAATCAAGTTGACACAAAATTGTCATAGACTTAATCATCACAGACTTAAACTCTCTAATGATAACTGGGTCTACATTTTTCCCTTCGATTCTTTTATTGGTACATTTTAGGTATACAGTGCATTTACATTTATCATTGGATACTTGTACCTTTACATAATATATCTTGGTTCTTATTTTTCCCCATTTCCTGTCTTCCCTTCACCCCTTTCATCCTTCCCTATTTACAAAGACTTTGTTTCCATTTTTTCCTTTTCTCATAATTTTTCCTTACCCTTCTTTCCTTTCCCCTACCCCTTTGGACCTTTTCTTACTATTTCACATTATCAGTTATTCATTTTAATCCTTATTTACACTTTCAGTTTCTCACATCAGAGAAACTATTCAGTATTTACACGTGTGTCCTATTTATTTCTCTTTAGAGTATGTCTTCAATATGCATCCATTTAGCGATAAATGTCTCTAGTTTCTCGTTCTTTATGGCTGAGTAGTACTCCATTTTATAAAAAACCGTATCTTCTTTATCCAGTTTCCAGTTGATGGGCACAGCCCTCCTTTCTCTCAGGGGCCTGGACTCCAGGGAAGCTCACTCCCTGCTCTGCCTGAGCTGGGAGACAACTTCCAGCTTTGGCCTTTCCCAGCAGCCCCATCACGGTGCCCTGCAGTGCACAGGGTCAGAGGTCTTGATCCCAGCCGCACACACACATGGGAGCCCCAGCCATGGAGGCATGGTCGGTGGGTGTTCCCTGGGGGCATCCTGACTCCAGCTCCTGTAGGTGGTTTTGGCTGTGGATTCCATCTTCACTCCTGACACCTGAAGTTTCCCCTTGAAGTATTTTGACTCAGTTCTCTGTTTTTGGTTTTGTTTCCCTCTCAGCTTCTTTTCCTGCTTTGCCATCCTCTTTTCTGTTAGGGAAATCAGCAAGCACTCTATTAGCTCTCTAATGTAAAGTAAACATGTTAAGTCAATCTGTCTCCTATTCATGAGGTTAACCTGAGCTAACCTGCAGAGTTTCCTTTTTAATCTAGCTTTGTCCACGAATAGCCCATTCATTGCCAGCAGCGCATTCATGCCCAGGAGCTTGAGAAGAACCTAGTTATCTGTGTGGACAGCTGTCCAGTTCTCTGCAGCACTACTTGACTACAGGTCCCAAGCTTTGTGTGGGAAACCAGGACACTATGCTGCCCCTGGCCACCTGCCACAGTCCCTGCAAAGAGGACAGCCCAGAGGTGTAGGCATAGACACTTGCTATGTAGACGCCTCTACCCCTCAAGACCTGGGAAAGTCTCTCTGCCCTGGGATCTTGTGACGCATTCACATGAGTTTGTTTATTGTGTTGTCCCAGCCTTTGCCTTGTCTGGCCCCTTTTCAGATGACAACAGTAAGGCACGAGGTGACTGGCCTGATGCCACTTTCCTGGGAGTCAGTGTGGTGTCGTACTGTCAGATGCCCCATGCCCACCCACCCCACCTTGTCCGCATGAGGGGAGCTGAGTTCTCACAGCCTTCCCATCTACACTTCCTTCCTGAGTCCTCAGGCCCGAATCTCCCCGTCTCTATATCATAGTCCCTGTACCTATGGTTTTACTTCCTACTCTCTCTGTTGCCTATGGTCAACCAATTCTGAAAATGTTAAATGGAAAAGTCCAGAAATAAATCATCCTTGGGCTTTCAATTATGCACTATTCTGACTGCTGTAATGGACTTTCACCCCATTCCACCCCTCCTGGTGGGTGGCAAGTTCTCCTGGTGTCCAGCTGTTCCAAGGGCATACACTCCCTGAGGCTGGAGCTCAGGCCTCTTGGTCATCAGACCCACCACTGAGGGACATGGTGCTTGATTCCAGGTGGCCCTTATTTTACCTAATGACAGCCCCAGAGCACTAGAGTGGCAACACTGGTGACTCAAATGAGCCAATGCAAATTTGTAAAGTGTGAGTTCTTTATGCAAGAAGACAGTGTGCTGACTTAAAAAGGAAAACAGTGAATCTAGGGCTCCATGCTATCCAGGGGATTGGGTAGGTAGGGTGGGCAGGGAACTGAGTTTTGTGGCCAGCAGGAGGGTACAGGTGGGTGGGTACGGGGACTCGGTGCCCCGCTCACGGTGGCATCTTGTGTGCTCACAGCCTTCAAGGCGGCAGTCCTGATACAGAGGTGGTACCGGCGCTATGTGGCCCAGCTGGAGATGCGGCGGCGCTGCACCTGGAGCATCTTCCAGTCCATAGAGTATGCCCGGCAGCAGGACCAGGGCCAGGTGCGGCCGGGCGGTGCCTCTATCTGCCTCTCAGGCTGGGGCAGTGACCTGGGGCCCCTTGCGTCTTCCCACCTGGTTTCTAAACCCAGGTCCCCTGCTTCCTCTGCAGCTCCATGAGTTCTTCAACTACCTCGTGGGTCATTTCACCCCCAGCAGCCACCATGAGAGTGAGTGTGACTGGCCATGACCTCACATCTCAAGGTCACAGGCTGCAGGGAGCATGGGGGCACAGAGACGGAGCCGTGAACCCAGGGGGAGGCAGAGGATGAGGGAGAGGTGACAGATCATAGCGCGAAGGTCTCTATTCTGGGTTCCCTAAAACCACGCCTGGAGACAGTGTTGTAGTGCAAGGAGTTGATTTAGCAAGTACAGGGTGGAAGGAGATGGGGAGAGGGGAGAAGGGCAGAGGTAGCAACAAGGGGGCACCAAGCTACCACTGGGTGCGGGCAGGTGCTGGGAAACAGAAACCCAGCTCAGAATGACATCCTTGGCCACCCAGACAGAAGCATCGAGTCCCGTGTGTCAGCAGCTTCTGGAGGGCAGTGGGTTCCCCAGCCTAGGAACGAAGCCCCCAGGCCAGAAAAGTTTGGGCAGCTGGAGACACAGTGCCCACGGGCCTGGCATTCGCTGCCCTGGCCCAGTGCTGCCCACCTTGGCTTTGTCCTTTCCCCTGCTCACAGCCCTGGCTTTTGCTTCTTCGTCTTCTCTGGCCCACACATGTGGATGAAAGCCCAGCCCTTTCCTTCTGTCAGTGCCCATCAACCTGTTTCCTGTTCTGTCCTGGGTGAGCTGATGCCAGCCAACACTGTCCCTCCCACCACAGTCCCCTCTGTACCACTAATGAATGGCATGTCTGCCCATAGTCAGCCCTCCTCTGCCCATGCCAGGCAACATCCTAAGCTGCATGCTGACTGAGCAGATCCATCCTCAGGACTTGGAGCTGGAGACCTGTGGTGACTACAAAGCCATTGAGGTGCCTGCCAATTACACTGGGCCACGCCTGTCCTTCCCGCTGCTTCCTGGCCACGCCACTGCCCTGGTAGAAGCTTTCAGGCTGAAACAAGTAAGCTTGGGGAGCCCAGGCCCTACATGCGAGCAGTCCACACAGAAATCTCCCAGCTGAAGGGCCCATCCTTAACTGAGAGACAGCCCCCTTCCTTCCTTGGCCAGACCTTAGGTCACCTGCCAGTGTCTTGACAAGGTCCTCCAAATCCTGACATCTCTCTATGCATTCATCCTGCAGACATGGAGCACTCTGTGGCCACCTGGCCTGGGCACATGGGACACAGCCGTGAGCAGGATGGGCGCTGGTCCCTGCCTGGGGCTGGTACACTAGAGGGGAGGCAGACAGTAAACAACGATAAATAAACCAGTGCACAGGAGAAGGGGCCAGGCGTTGGGGAGAAGGAATTTAAGCTGGGGTGGGAGAGGGCTGGGAAGGCACTTTCTGAGCCTGGGGCATGGTGTCTCAGAACACGCCAGGCAGTGTTTGAGCAAAGACTGTTCCAGGAGAGGGAGCAAGTGGGAAGAGCTGGTGCAGGAGGCTGCTAGGCAGTTTGTGCCTCAGAAGCTGGAGGCCCCTGTGGCTGTACAGCAGAGAGCCAGGAAGAGTAGAAGGCGGTGACTTTTATTTTTCTGAATGATGCGAGGAGACTCTGGACATTAAGCACAGGAATGGTGTTGATCTGACTTGACTTTAAAATAATCATCCTGGTTGCCATGTTAAGAATAGAGTATTAGTCAGGCCCAGTGGTGCATGCTTGTGATCCCAGTACTCTGGGAGGCTGAGACAGGAGGATTCCAAGTTAGTAACATAGTGGGACCCTGTCTCAAAGTAAAAAAATTTAAAAAGTCTGGGGATGTAGCTGAGGGCGAAGGCCTTGGACTCAATCCCAGTACCATAAAAAAAGAATTGACTAGAGTGTACAGGGAAGGGCTTCTGCTGTAATGATGCAGACAGAGGATGTAAGGAGTTTGAAATGCTGATGGTAGAGGCAGAGATTGTGAGAAGTGGTCAGATTTGGGCTTCAGGTCAGGTTCTGATCTTCCTCTCTTTCCTGTGGGAGAACTCACAGCAGGAGGAGTTGGGCTGCTTCTCAGGCTGCTTCTCAGCATGGCAGGGTTGCTCTCTCCCATCCACACACACGCACTTCTTCCTGCTTAGCTGAGACAGCCATGTGCAGCTCCCAAACCCAGGCCTGGAGGGCTTTGGAGAACAGAGGGGAAGGAGGAAATTAGCTCAGGATTGCTGGGGGACAGACAGGGACCATGAAAAGCAGAAACAATGACAGAGGTGAGACAGGGTGAGAAAGAAAGGCATCCTGTGGCATCTTGGGAGCCATTCCCCGGTCCCTTTGGGGTCACCAAGCAGGGTGGTGGGCTGTCAGTGTCCTGTGTCCCCCTCCTGCCTCCCAGCAGCAGCTGCATGCTCACTACGTCCTGCATCTCCTGCATGAGACCAGGAGGCACCTGGCGCAGCTGCCGAACATCACCAGAGTGTCCAGCTGCTATGGCAAGGAGCTCACAGTGTGTGGTAAGAGCTCAGGGTGGCAGCTGGGAGGCTCTGGTGTGGAGGGACGGGAGGGTAGCGAACAGGCAGGTAGAGTTCCATTCCTTCAAACTGGCTGTCACTCATGTGCCCCACACTGTATAGACAGGGAATTCAGGGAGGAGGCTCATGTGGCTCAGTAACTGTCCTGACTCTGAAATCAACCCCCGGGCCACATGCCAGCCTCTCTTTGATGGGCAGCAGTTTGCCTACCTGCATGGAGCAAGCCCAGTCCATATACTGTTCCCTCCCAGAGAAGTCCAGTTCCCAGCTGTGTCCCTTGTCCTTCATCTTCATAGATAGCCAGCATCTGTCCGGGTGGACCGAGGCCCACACTCAACCCAAGGCCACCCGGGGCACATGCAACCCACACACATCCTGTCTGTCCTCCATGACCTCAGACTTTGAACATCAGCATTCCAACATTCAGCAACGAGAGGATTTCATGTTAAAGTCTAGATTTTGCAACTTCTCTTGAAAACTTGCCTAATGCTGGCCCTGTAACCACAGCAGAGCCCTCCTGCTCTTGTCCGAGTTGCAGGCCTGTGTTGTTCTGTCTATCGCTGCTAAAAAGGCCGGTCGCTTGCTATTTATGAAGCTCAGGCAGGAGTTCTGGTGCTTTCTGCTCACAACCACTGCAGCAAGGGGGAAATAATGAGGGTCTGTTTGTGATGTGGAAAAATTAGTGAGCGTTGGATTCTTTGTCAGGTTTTTCTAGATTCAATTTTTTTCTCTTTACAGTAAATTAGAAACAGGGGTAAGGACCAATAAGAACTGATGCTCTTTTCCTTTTTTAGGAGACTTACACGGCCAGTTGGATGACTTAATATTCATATTCTATAAGGTATGAATGTTCATGCTAAGTTCCTTTCTGTGAGGCTTAATTTGGAAGTCCAGACACAGTATTTAGCAAACAAATGCCCAAGTGGTGGTAGAATCTTTAAACTATGATTTTTAAAAATATTGGCTTCTATGCAGTAAATATGTGGTATAAAAACATTGCATTTTATTCTAGTACATTTTTGTATACTGTTTAACAAATATAAAATGTTACCTCAATAAGTAGAAAGAAGCATTATCTAGCAACTGATTTTCCTTTTTCTAGATAATGAAGCTTGGTTATCATCAAAGCAACCAAAAGCTATTTTCATATCTATGATTAGCTATAAAATCCAGACCGTAGAACAAACATGTGAATATCGTAATAATTTAATGTGATATTATTAGACACATACGATACACATCCCAAAGCATTTCCCCTTGTGTTTTCATGTTTAATTCTGAGGACTCTGAGATAGTAATTATTATTATTGTTAGTATTTTAACGTGGCCAGAACTTAAAACTGGCCTTCGCATCACTGCCCAGCACCCTTGCTCCGCCCACACGGCGCCGCTCTGGCCCTCCGAGATCTGTTCTGACAGGGAATCAGAGGCTCCGCCTGGCAGGGAAGGACAGCTGCAGTAGGAGGCCCGGCGCCCTGCCAGGAGCCCCAGAGCACAGCGCTCGGGGCAGACCTGACTAACCTGATCTCCTCTCCCTCTTCCCGCCCGCCTCCTCCACCGTGCTCTGTCCGCAAGAACGGCCTCCCATCACCAGAGCGGGCCTACGTGTTCAACGGGGACTTCGTGGACAGGGGCAAGGACTCGGTCGAGATTCTGATGGTCCTGTTCGCCTTTATGCTGGTTTACCCGAGAGAGTTCCATCTGAACCGAGGGAACCACGAGGACCACATGGTGAACTTACGGTACAAGCCCAGCGCTGGCTGCTTCCTGTCTGCTTGTTGCCACTCTAAAAATAAATATTTTGCTAGTTTCTTATTTTAGATACCTGTCAAAAGTGATTTTCTAATTTCTGAAAGAATGCACAGTATATAATATTTTTAAAGATTTAAAAAATTTTACATACGCTCTTAAATAAGACATTTTTTCAAGTGTATACGCCTTAACATATAAAGAGTAAGGATTCACCACAGAAAAAGTGAGAAATATGGACAAACAAAAGGAAGAAAATTATAGTATCTCTTAATTTCTCTACCCAGAGGTAATGTTATAACTGTAAATATTTTGGTAATTATGCCTCAGTCTCTTTTCTAAATAGTTTAAGTACACTTGTATAAAATGTGCATTTTTATACTAAATTTATTTTAACACCTATTTTTGCTTCTGTACTTAGATATGGCTTCACCAAGGAAGTGATGCATAAATATAAAGTAGGCTGCTTTTATTATGTTTTCTTGGGGGAGGGATTGAGACAGGGTCTCACTATGTAGCCCAGGCTGGCCTCAAACTCACAGTGATCCTCTTGCCTCAGCCTCCTGAGTACTAGGATTACAGATGCACACCACTATGTCTGGCCACTATGCTGCTTTTAAAAGAAGTTTCTCCTAGTTCAGGGAAGGTGAATGAGTTATTTGAAACCTACTATCTTATTAATATCATGTTTTCAGATACATGGAAAGACAATATTAAAAACACTTCAGGATGTGTTCTGCTGGCTTCCGCTGGCCACGCTGGTTGATGAGAAAGTCCTGATTCTTCATGGTGGAGTGTCGGACAGGACTGACCTGGAGCTTTTGGCTAAATTAGACAGGCACAAGGTACAGATGAATGAAATAATGCAAATCCCACCTTAATATCCTGTTTCACTGCCAGCATAAAGTAAATGTCATCCTGCATGCTGAGTCCTGGAGACTGAGAGGAGGGTGGAGAAGCACTGAGAGCCCACCGTGGGTAATGGATTACTAGTGTCACCGCCAAGTGGTGGGGGGTGCAGCTGGTGCTGTGGCTTTGCCACCCTGACGTAGAGCACCTGAGCCACCACCCCTCTGAATAGTCTGTGTTTCAGGGTGTGATGTTCCCAAGTCAGAATCAGGACTTCTGCTACTAAGAAAGCAAGGTAGACAGCCATGAAGACAGATGTAAATCAGGGTGGTGACACTCTTAGCGTGTCCCTTTGGTTTCCCCAATTTCTGTGCACACTCTCCACACACAGCACCAGGCTTGGCCCTCCCAAGGCAGACTACTGGAACCCTCCAAGCTCATCCTGTAATTGCTTTCATCTTGAAATCCCAAGGTTTCTGTATGTAGGTCCTATTTATAGGTCTGGACATGGCTCCTTGAGGTTTGGTAGCTGTCTGTGTCTGTGTCCACCCAATCTCATTCTTCAAAGAGGGTGAGGATAACTCTTTGGCAGAGGTGGAAGAAGGGAAGGGTACAACATTCAATGGCTCCACCCCAAATCCTCATCACCAAACCCCTGTCTATGTCCCCGCCCTCAGCCCTTGAAGATTATTGAATCCCGTGGGGCCAAAGGCCCACAGCCAGTTCTTGGTATTTCCCTTGTTAATTCTGCATGTTGCCTGACACCCAATTTGTTTTTAACTCCCCTACCCCTTGCATCTTGGTGGTTTTGGGGGACTTTCAATCCATATTCTTTGTCCAGCTATATCCACCATAGGGGACCATCTCACAAGAGGTATCATGTTTGATTGTGAAAACACGGAAGCAGAGGAACTTAGAGAAGCAGCACGAAGAACTTTCTGTAGCTAAGCAGAAAACGAACTCCCTAATACTTGGCTACGAATTCTGGAGAGGGGGTGATGCAGCCACCCATATGGTCTGGGAGCCCTGGGAAAGAAGACAGAGATGGCTGGGCTCAGAATCAAGGGTCTGGATTTAGTCTCAGAAGAGCCTTGGAGTCTCTGTGCCTTAGCTTTCTCATCTGGAGTGGAAATGATGGTGCTGTCTCCTGGAGCCAGCAAGAGATCAGTCAGTGCGTTTATATGAAGTGCCCAGAACGGTGTCCGTACACAGTGGTCCTGTTAGCCTCCTTAAGAATCTGAGTTATGAGAGCCAGGGATTTAGCTCAGTGGTTCAGCCACCTGCCTCGCAAGCGCAAGGTCCTGAGTTTGATTCCCGGTACCAAAAAAAAAAAAAGAATCCAAGTTATGGATGCTTCTTGGAGCAGCTCATAACATCCTAATGTTACGTGAGGCCAGAAGAGTTGGCCCCTTGGGAGGGGAGGTGGCGAGTCCATGGGTTAGCCTGACTTTCCTCTCCCATGCTGGGTTATTGCGAAAGTGATTTTCCAGGCTGTCACAGGAGGCCCCTGTTCTCCTCCTCAGTGGGCTCCTCTGTTCACTCTCTCTGGGCATCCTCTGCCTTCTCACTCTGGGCCTGTCCACAGTGGGATGGGGGTTTCTGATGTCAGCATCCTTAGGTCTAGTTGCAGAAAGTGCTCATTCTTTGAGTGTGCTCACAGTCCCCTCTAAGGCTAGACCAGAGGTGGCAAGCCTCTGGCATTCATACCTCAGTGGGCTGTTTGTGTCATTGAAAGCTCTAAAAGGTTTGTCATCACTGGACTAGGCCTTTGTCACTGATGTCCTTTGGAGGTCATCTCCCATGGTTTCCACCGTGGCACTCAGGCACAACAGGGATGGTTGCTCTCTCTCCACTCAATGCCACCCTTGGCTCTGTGGCATATCCTGTCCTTCCCTCTGCATGTGTCCTCTATTCTCCACTGGGTCCCAGTGCCACAGTGACTGGAGTCAATGAGAGGACTCTGCTCAGTTCCTTTCTGCTCGGGCCCAGGCAGCAGGACTGCCCTCTCCTCTCCTGTACAAGGCTATGCACAGGACTGCTTCTCCCACAGAACCACCCCTGTTCCATTTTCCAACCCCACACAGTGGCCCCCTGCCTGCTGGAATCTGTCCTGAGACTCTGGATGCTTGAGACTGCAGAAGGGAACCAAGCCTGCCTCTCCTATGCTTACCTGCACACTCTGCAGCTGGGCAGCTGAGCTAATTGGCCTTCTGTGTGCTGTGCCCTAGGCCTGGCTCTCATCACAGCTCCTGTGCTTTGCAGACATTGTTAAGCAGAATCAGGGTCACTTGAATGGAGCACTGTGACACGGTGATAGTCCATCCGATGACCCAGATTAGTGGGCAGGCAGTATGTACAGCTTGGATACGCCAGACAAAGCAATGACTCATGTCCAGGCACAGTGGGGAGGGATTAGTGCGAAATTTCACAATGCTCCTTGACAGGGCACCACTTGAAACCTAACCATTGTTTATTTCCGGAATTCCCCCCTTAATACTTTCGGACCACACTTGGCCCTAGTAATTGGGTTACTGGGAAGTAAACCACAGTACCACGGTGCCCACTTCCTTCTCTGCTCTAGAATCTGTGGGATGACAGGGCTACCTTTCTGAGAGCATTGTATTCCTCTCCTTGTCTGAAACCACTAGGTTTCTAGAGAGAAATGATGACCTAGTTTGGTGTATCTCAAACTACAGTACCTGTGCAGAAGGACTGGTTGTAAGTTTCCAATTTGGAAATATCAATACTTTTGTAAAATATAGTAAATGTGAAACATTAATGAGTGAAATACGGACAGGTAAATCCCTTGATGGCCTATTGGCAGGTGACAGTGGTGTCAAGCTGCTGTGACTGTGTCAGCTTTCTCTCCAGGTCTACGCTTGTCTGACCAGGCCAGAGCCCACGTGCACAGACAGTACTCGGTGGCCCCTAGGACTGAGACTGTCCTGGAGGCCACTGTGGCTGTCAGAAGCTGCCTGTTGCCTCCCTCCAGCCTCTGTATCTGCTTTGGACACGTTTAGATCCTCTCCACCATGAGGTGCCCGATGCCAAGGGAACCCAAGAGGCAGGTAGAGGTGCCCAGCATGGCCAGTGCTGCACTGAGCCCTGCAAAGAGACGCACACCCTGGTTCCTGCCCCAGAGCTGCTCACTCCCCTCCTCACCGCTCCACTCCAGCTCAGACAGCAGGACCCACAGGGCTGGCCGGTCTTGCAGGGTCCCCTGCAGTGCCCCCTTGGCTCCCCTGGAGCTGTCCCGGCAGGTACGACGCTCTGTGGACTTGGAAGTAGAGCGGTGCCAGCAGCGAGCAGGCTTCCCTGGGGTCCAGGGGCAGGAGGAGTCCTTACCTTCAGCCTCTGAGGGGGACCTGGATGCTGGAGAGCCACTGGGGCCCACCCAGGAAGAGTGGCAGCAGGTAGGTGGTGTTCAGGGCTGCTACCTGGAACTGGGCTTCATGGTGTTAGGGGTCAGGATTACAAACAATAGACCACACCTGTTCCTTCTGTATGCATTCAAGGCACACATTCTGGGACCCTCTTTCTTGCTCTCTGAGGTTAGGATACCCCCCAGAAGGACATGAGTGTTTGCATAATGCATCCCATGTTGAAGAGGTTTATAAAGAATGGGAAGGTGTGGCAGGTGTCTCTATTGAGGAGATCCGTGGTTAGTGACTTAGCACCTGTGGGAAAAGAAGGGCCAGTTCAGTTGGCACATTGCAGGCTAGGTCTGTCCCCAAACCGTGGCTGCTGTAGCTCAAGGCCACAAGATCTAGCCAGCAGTATCTCTCCTCTGTTAACAGGCAACTAAGAGCTTACCAAGAATCCTAGACCCATGTCACATGGCCACCCTAAGCTCCAAGGGAGATGGGAAACTATGTTTACCTCAGCATATTGCTGCCCCAAACAATCATTATGTTAGTGAGGAAGAAGTCGGAGGAGAATGGATATGGGGATGCAATCCTCAGGTTGGCACAGTGACTGTCAAACAGACGACTCTGGCAGCCAGGTGGAAGGCACAGCTGGGCAGGGCAGGGGGGCAGGAAGGTGTTAGGGAGGCCCCTTAAAAGACCACCACAGTGACCCAGACCAGAGGGGCAGGTGATCTCTGCCATGGTTTAGAGAACTCCATAAACTCACTAGTAGTCAATTCTCTTTGACCTACAAAAGCAGCATATGGTTGCATATGGTTCATCCAGCAGAGAGAATTCAGATATTTTAAAGAGCTAAACTTAGCAGAACTAGGTGATTTTGATTGGATGGAAGGTGGTAAGAAAGAAGAGTTGGGGCCGGGGATTTAGCTCAGTGGTTCCTGTGCCTGCCTTGCAAGCGCAAGGTCCCAAGTTAGATCCCCAGTACCAAAAAAAAAAAAGAAAGAAAGAAGAGTTGAAGCTGATTCTGAGCTAGAAGCTGAGAGAGAGAGAGAGGGCGGGGGAGAGGGAAAGGGAGAGGGGAAAGAGGGGGAGGGGGGAGAGAGGGAGAGAGGGAGAGAGAGAGACAGACAGACACTGAGTTTAGGCTACATGCTCCCAGAAATTGGTCTGGGCTTCAACAACATGTAGAATCAAAATTTTAAAATGCAGGTCTCTGCTTTTGCAAAACATGACTCAATAATATCATGATGATATTTATAAATCAAATGTAGTACATTCAGAAAGTATCAGGTGTCACCAACCACAATATACTCAGTTATTTTATCTGAGCGGCATGGGTAGCAATCAGTGCTTGCTTCCCTGAGTATCAACAACAGGCAGTCTAAACTGCTGAAGATTGCTCAGCTTTTCCGCAGATTTTTTAAAAAAATTCTCAAGTTGCTGGAGGAGATAAAATGTCAACAGCCCTTTACCAGGAATACATGTGGGTGTGGTGTTCTGCCATCCCAGGGACCCCTGTCTGCTCTTTGGAGAAGCATCCGGGAGCCTGGGCACTGACTCCAGCTGATCGCTGCTGGCTGTGGCCAGAGCTGCACCCCGAGCAAATTCATCTCTTCCCACACTGACCTTACACACGATATCTGTTCTCCAGAAAATAGATGTATACTTGCCAACTGACATACACACAAGCACATATACTCATTTTGTGAGTAATAACAGATTCTGGAACTTTGGGGCCCAAAATACAAATGTATGTCAAACTTGATTGCATGGAAATTTATTCACTTATTTTTCTTTAGATATTTCTCCCCTCCTTCTTCCCATCCTCCTCCTGTTCCTCCTTGTCTTTCCATGTAGATGACCAAGAACGACTTGGTGCTTTTCTCTTGGTCCCCCAGGTGGTGGACATCCTGTGGAGTGACCCCATGCCTCAGGAGGGCTGCAAGGCCAACTCTGTCCGTAGAGCGGGCTGCTATTTTGGTCCTGATGTGACAGAGCAGTTGCTGCAAAAATACAACCTGCAGCTCCTGATCCGGTCCCACGAATGCAAACCCGAAGGCTATGAATTCTGCCACAACCGAAAGGTGGGTGAGCCCTCGAAATTGTGCCTGTTCATGTGCCACCAAAGTGGGTGAACAAACCTCTTCCAGGCCAGGTGGGATGAGTCTGTTGGTTTCTAACAACCAGCTGTGATGTGTATTTGTTGCCCACTTGCTCAAAGTACCTCAGTCCTGTTTGTCATTCACTCCTGACTTCTAGAGCTTCTCTGAAACTCACAATTGGATTAAAGCCACTGGTCACCAACCCACTGAGGGTAAGGGGCATATGCTGCCCCATTCTGGGAACTGAACTGGGAGGGCAGTGTTTTCCCAGCCATGTTTGATCCCATGTTCTAAGCAATGCTACAGACACGGGATTTCTGCATCTTCCAGCAGGGATTCAGTGTTGTTTCTCTTGTCAGCAGTATAATGACTAATCTTTGAGTGTGTCCTAACCTGTAATATTTACCTAGCTTCAGGGATGGGAGTCTGTATGCCCAGGAATACTAATTTTACAGGAGAAAAACAGGTTTCCAGGGAAAATAAAATGGGGTTGAGATAAGTAATCTATTGACCCTGGGAACCTCTTTCTCTGGGGAACCCTGCTCTGAGACAGAGCTCTCAGCCCCAAACAACTGCCTGCCTCTAAGTGGAAGGAAGGAGGTGTTTTCTATGACCCCTGCCATTTTTATTTGGGATCAGAATGTGAAAAATGTTAGGAATGTCCTATCAAGTGTCTATGGCTTGAACCAACAACTCCTGCCTTAGTAATACTGATGACATCAAAATTTTTAAAAGAAGGAAAAGAAAAAGATCCATAGATGAGTGCTAGGGCGAACAGCAGCCCTGACGTTGGGTTGGGCCGTGTAGTGCTGGGGATGAAGAACTCTTCGGAGAATGTGAATGGTCTCTCTTTTCTGTTGGATCCAGGTGCTAACCATCTTTTCTGCCTCCAACTACTATGAAGTTGGCAGTAACAGAGGGGCCTATGTCAAACTGGGGCCAGCCCTGACCCTGCACATTGTACAGTATCAAGCCAACAAGGCGACCCACACGCTCACCATGAGGCAAAGGCAAGACTTCACAATGACTGGTTTTCAGGAAAAAGTTACATTGTTTATAGAAATGTGGAGGCATCAAATGTGATTACATTTATCCAATTCTATGTGAGAATTCAGAATGTAGCCAGCCAAGACAGCATTAAAGTCTAGAATCAACACGGTAGGGATCTTATTAGTCTGTTGTGTTACTATAATGGAATACCTAAGGCAAGCTACTTACAAAGAAAAGAGCCTTTTTGAGCTTACAGAGGCTGGAAGTCAAAGATATGGTGGCCCCATTGGTTCAACCTCTGGTGAGGACCATAGAGTGTGAGAAGGAAAAAAAATGTCTTGAGACAGGAAGCCAGGTCAAGAGGGAGTTGGCAGTCTCACTCATTTCATGTCAACTTCTCATGAGAACTTTGGGTCTCACAGATCCCACTGGACACTCCCCCTGGACCTGAGGATCTTGCATGAGCCCCTCCTCTCAAAGGTCCCAGCCCCACTGAGGACCAAGCCTTTGGGGGACAGAAAAGGCATAGGATTCCTTACAAACACTCTCCCACATGCTTCCTTCTCCTACACTCTTAGCTCCACTCCTACCCATGTTCACAGGAGCAGGAATCTCAATGAGGACCTCTCAGGTGAAGTCCATGTATTAGGCATTGAGTCTTTCTAAGCTTCCTTTTCCATTTTTTCTCATTCACAAAAGGTTTGTGGCACCCCCAGAAGCCACAGCAAAAGGTCCTCTCGCTATCTGGGGACTTACGATGGATTTCACTGGCACGTTTGTTAAAGATGACTCTTACTGCAAAGGAAGTGCATAGTGTTGTTATTTAAGTGGTGCCTGTTGAGATGATTCTGAGTTCTAACCTTAAGAGAGAACTTCTTTTTTTTTCTTTTTCTTTGTATTGGGGATCAAACTCAGGACCTTGTGCTTGTCAGACAGCCAGGGTGGCAATGAGCTACATCCTTGCCCCGCCCCCCTTTTGTTACCAAGGATTGAAGTCCGGTCCTTGTGCTTGCACAGCAGGCCACAAAACCACTGAGCTAAATCTTGGGTCTTACCCCTCCTCCCCTTTTTAAAAGCGAGAATTTCTGCCTATTTTTATAAAGAAATAACTTATGTATGTACTGTCTCACAAGCATTTGTGAAATAGATATCCTTATTGATTTCAGCCTGAGACACAAGATCACTAAGAACAGAGATTAAAGTAGCTGGCTTGTGACCACACAGCCAATGAGTAGTGGAGGTCTGTAGGCTTGGAGCTGGCAACATTATTCAGGCCCAGGGTGTTGAATGGCTCTCCAATATTACCTCCCGTGGAGGACAGAGCCTTGGGTATATAAGGTGCTCATAGACATAGGCTACTGAACAAGCATCTTAATTAAACAGCCTCACTAAATTAAAAATCAAAGTAGACAAGGTCAGCTTCAACTAAGTGGATAGAGAACACATTAATATTAACATTTACCTTGCATGAGTGCTATAAAAGTGGATTGTTTTAAATCACCTTGAGTTATTGAATACAGGGCAGCCTTACTTAAAAAGAAGTATTAGGAAAACATGAAAGCTCACCAAGTGAGAATCAAACCTACTGGGTAGCAAAATCATCTGTGGAGCTTTATAAAAGCCAGCAATGATGTCCCCCAGCCCTGTTGAACCAGGTTGGGACTCAGGCATTGTCCCTACAAAGGCAGCCACTGTAGAGAATCCTGCAAGTAGTGTATATTGATAAGATAACATGCAGCTCTCTGAAAGATTCATGAATTGCACTAAATAAGCATAACAGTACCTGATTCTCCCAGAAGCCCCTTCTCCAGTGCAACTATCTGGAGTCTGGAGTCTGAGGGTTAACTTAGAAACATGGGACTTGCAGTTGGGTCCCAAAGTCCACAAGCTCTGACGTGCTTTCCTGAGAGGTCTCTTCCTTCAGAACCTGTTACTTCTCACTCACATCTCTTCTCCCAGTATCAGCACAGTCTCCTGGGGCACAGCTGTCCGGGTGATGCCAATAACTGTGTCTGCCTCCATGTTGCTGAGAGATTACAAAGAGAACCCATGTAGAATCCCATAATGGCAGAATAGGTGTGGCTGAACAGTGGGGACAGGGAGCTTCATACATCAGATGGCTTCTGAGGACCCTGCCACCCTCCACTCCTGCAGAGCTGTCCATGCAAGCAGCTGAAGCACTTTGCTTAACCTTTTATCTCTTCTTATGCTTGTGTTCATTTAGCCATGGACATTTGTTGAGCACTTGCTTTGGGCCCAGAATTACTCTAATAATCCCAGAAGAATGGGAAAACTAAATTAGTGTTACTTTCTTATTCATAAATCTTACCTTCAAACTGCTTAACATCATAGTAAGATGTGACAAATGCATGAGTGCATTCTGTGTGTCAGGCCTCTGCCCACTGCCGGGCCTACATTTGACCACTTTTTCTGCTCAACAGTCCCACGAGATCAGTGCCATTCACTCATCTCTTTCACAGATTCAGACATGGAGGCATAGGCTGGTGAGACAGCTTTACCAAAGATGTGATCTTTCTCCAGAACTGATCCAACCTCTTCCTATCCTGGAAAGGACTATGAGAGCAGGTAGTTGGTAAGACAGGAGATGGGAAAAGGGCAGCAGGGCCAGAGAAGGGAGCCTCACCCTGCACACACACACCCTTGCAGACACCACGCAAACTAGGCCTACATGCATGGACCTCACCTCACCCATTCAGGTACCTGTCCTGTCGGTGCACGCTAGGGAAAAGCAGGACAGCAGCAGGAGAAATAAGAGATGGAGCTGAGCCCTCAAAAGCTGGGCTCATGTCTAGGGGTTCTCAAGTTCCAGCCCACCCTGGGCAACTTAATGACTTAGCAATACCTTTTCTCAAAATAAAAAAGGAAGGGCCGGGGATGGAGCTCAGTGTGAAGGCCCTGGATTCAATCCCCAATATCACCAAAATAAAACAAACAAACAAACCAAAACTGAGCACTTAGAGAAACTGAGATATTAGAGAAATCAGAAATTTTGCAAAGCCTGTGACTCTTTCTTCTAACCAACCTCTCCTGTGTCCTCTCCTCTCCTGGCCCAGGATCAGCAGAGTGGAGCAATCTGCACTGAGAGCACTTCGGGAAAAGATGTTTGCCCATTCCTTGGACCTCCTCCGGGAATTTAAAAAGCATGACAAAGGCAAAGCTGGTAAGAATAGAGTGAAAGAGTCATAGAGGAAGAAACCGAGCCAGAACAGTTCTTGCTCTCAGCAGTTAGTAAATAAAGAAATATTTGTTAAATGATGAAAACCTTTGACTACTTCATTCATCTTACTCAACTTGAGATCTCATGTATTTTTCCCCAAATGTTGACATTCTAAGCTATTAACAGAATATGAACTTGGCCAAGTATAGGTGGCTGTGGAGAAAAGAAATGGAGTTTTGGGGGGAAGGGAGAGCAATAAGGACAGAACTAAGCAAAAAACAAGTTGAGGAAGTCACAAGAGTGCATCTCAGACTAGCCAAAAACTGACAGCTCAACTTTTCCACCCCTTGAGTATGGATGGTTTCCACCTTTGAGTTGATCTGTTTCAGGTTCTATTATGCATGCCAAAAACTTTGGCTTTTTCCATGCATGGTGGTGCACATCTGTAACCCTACTTGGCCAGGGTTACTTGGGAGGTTGGGGCAGGAGGACCTCAAGCTGGAGGCCGGCCTGGACAACTTAACAAGACTTTGTCTTAAAATTTTAAAAAAAGAAGGGCTGGGGATGTATCTTATCCCTGTGGGATCTAGCTCATCCCTAGTGGAGTGCCCCTGGGTTCAATCTCCACTACTAAGGGAAAATAGCCCACCTCCCTAAAAATCAACCCTATGTCTGCTCTATTTAATGGAATGTCTAAAGACCTTTGACCAAATGTCAAAGCCCCATCAAAAGTAGCAGTGATATTTTTAGGTTGGTACCAATACATTTTCCTATATACATATTGTAACTGTTCCAGTGAATAATATTTTCTAAGGAACTTAGGTTTTATTTAAAGCAACTAATGCTATACAGGATATGTATAATATTTTATGATCTTATTTACAAGAGTCTTATGTGGCTTCTAGTTGTTTTTTCAAGAATAATAAATTAAAATCAAGGATGCCTGATTAAATCTGAATTATAGACAAACAGACAAACGCTTTTATGTAATATTTGGCAAATATTATACTTCATTATCTGTTTAAAGTTCACATTAACGGGCCATCCTGTGTTTTATTTGCCAAATCTGCCAACTCTGCTATGACCAACAAAAATTATGACAATGCCCATTATAATTATTAGTATTAGTATTATTGATTTGTTGAGACAGAGTCTTGCTATGTAGCCCAGGCTGGCCTTGAACTCACAGAGATTCTTCTGCTTCAGCTTCCCAAGCGCAGAGATGACAGGCATGTGCACCATGCCTGGGTTAATGCCCGTTCTTTCTAGTACCTGTCAAGGTAACATGTGTGTCTGATGTGGGGGACTAGGGATGCAGGTGGCAGGCAGACATATGGGCCCTCCCCGCAGGTATGATCAGCCTGAATGACTGGGCGGTGGCCCTGGAGGCCGTGCTGCACTTGGGCCTGCCTTGGCGGGTGCTGAGGCCCCAGCTGGTGAGCAGCAGTGTGGGCAGCACCCTGGAGTACTCAGCCTGGCTGCAGGACTTGGCCAAGGACTGGCCCAGCCGAGAGGTAAGCCAGGGCAGGGCATGAGGGCTCTGTCCAGAGACAGCCCATACCTTATAGCTAAGACAAGGCTCAGTGACCACTGGGCGACTCTTTGTGGCTTTCTTTCCTTTTCTTTTTCTTAGTCTGTTTGCAGTGCATAATGATCACTTTCCCTGTGGGGAGTTGGTGCAGGCCCATAACACTTCTGAAATCTTTTTACCTCCTCTTCTCCTCCCCTCCCTCCAGCATCCTTCCATCTCTTGGTCTCCTTGCCATTTGCAAAATATTTATCTTCCTGTTTCCTATTATCTGTCTTTTATTTTGCTTTTTAATTTATTTACACTTTGGGTTTCTTATATAAGAGAAACCATGTGATACTTAAACTTGTTTGTCTGATTTATTTCACTTAACATTATGGTCTCCGGGTGCACCCATTTTCCTACAGATGACTCATTTATTCTTCTTTATGGCGGAGTGGTGCACCATTGTGTTTCTTTATCCAGTCATCTGTTGAGGGACACACAGACTGCTTTCAAGATTTAGCTATTTTGAGTTGTGCTGCTGTAAACATGGGTGTGCATGGATCTCCATTAACATGGTATCTTTAACTCTTTCGGGGAGATACCCAGAAAGGGAATGACTTGTGGCTTTCTATGTGACTGTGAGTGTCGTGGTTTCCCTACCTTGCCTCAGGTAACCCTCAAGCTCTCCCCAGCAGGGAGGCATTGTGGCCACTCTGAGAGCCAGGTGGACACGGCCCACACAGTGAAGAAACGTGCCGGGTTGCAGAACCTTCTTCTAAGCCAGCCCTCACACTCCAGTCTGGCTGGGGTGCAGCTCAGCGGGGCCCTAATTCTCACCCAGGCCTGGGTTCAGCCCAGAGCCACTGCACAGCCAAGCACACTCTGGTCTCACTGACATGAGGGCCATTTTATTCCTCACCACTGTGCTTCCTTCCCTATTTATAAAGTCAGTCAGTAAACACTCACTGAGGAAGTAACCTCGGTAAAACCTGGGGTTAGGTACTTTAAAAAAGCAACTTTATTGCAATATACTTCCCACGTATGGAATCCACCCACATAAAGTCTGCAGTTCAGTGGTTCTTAGCATATATGCATCCCTTGGGCCAGAGGAGGGGTCTTGTTCAGGGACCCTCTGCAGAAACAAAAATCTGTGGCTGCTCAAATCCTCAGTACAAAATGGTGCAGCATTTCCATTAACCTAAGCATGCCCTGCACCATACCTTGCATCATCTCTGATTACCTGCACTTAATGCTATCTAAACCCTAAGTACATAGTTGTTACACTGTAGTGTAACAGGACAAGAAAAGAGGTGTGGGTGAGTTCACTGCAGACACCTTTCTCCCTAACATGTTTCCTCCTTGGTGGGCTGAGTCTGTGGGTGCTGAGCCAGTAGACACCAGGCACCTGCATTTGTGCAGTCATTCCCAGAGCTTCAGCTGGGCTGTGTGCTCCCTGGACCAATGGGTTATATGGTAGGCTGGAAAATGCCTTCTCTACCTGGGGGCATTGAAGTGGTAAAGGAGTGGCAGGTTTTTCAAGAGTGTATGGTTATCAGAGTGGATTGTGTATTAATTACATATTAGGATAAGACTAAACATAAAAGGAAAATGAGTTTCATTCTTCTAGAACATACAATCAAGTTTGCTGGAAACTCTGTACAGAAACCGATCCAACCTGGAGACCATTTTTAGGATCATCGACAGTGATCATTCAGGTAAATAGAAAATATTTTACATCAAATCCTTTAGTCTTCTTTCCTGTCCCATCTGCTCCTCTCTGCTCAAGCATACTGGGGGCAAAGAAAGCAGTATCAGTGTTTCTAAGTGGCACACACTAAAAAAGTAGTTAAGCAATTAAAGGAACCTGTGTAGCTACTCCAGAGGCTTTGGCAGGAGGAGCTCATGAGTCTAGGAGTTCAAGGCCAGCCTGGACAACACAGTGAGACCCTGTCTTAAAAACAACAGCAAAAGGAAGGCTGCTTAGAAAGGCACAGGACAGAGAAACATGAAGATAGATGGGAGGAAAGCTTGTTTCCAGAAGAATAGTTGTTAAATATGCTGTCCTTTACAGTTCCATCAAAGATTGCCCCAAAGTGATGAAGGGGTGGAGAGCAGAGAGGCTTTGCAATCTCACTCCAAGAGTTTAAAAATACACTTTAAATTTTGAAATGCTATAGATTCAAAGGAAGCTACCAAGAAAGTGTGGGAAGGGGCTATAGGCCTTTTCCTGTTACCCCTGTGGTCCAAAGGTGTTTTTCAGTAATACTACCTTTTTAAAGGCCTAATTTACATAGGATATAATATATTTACAAGGTTGTGGTGACCTCACCACGGTTTAATCACAGGACACTTTCATCACTCCCTAAGGAAGGCCTGAACCCAATAGCACTCCCTCCCCCAGCCCTGGCTCCTGTCCACCTACTTCCTGTCTCCATGGACTTTTCTGCTGGGGACTGTTATACACGGCCCTTCAATGCCCGCTGGAACCTCTCATTTACCACAATGTTTTTAAGCTTCATCCATGTTGCAGCAGTGTTAGCTCCTTATTCCTTTCTTGTGTTTGGATAAACCATCTTTTGTTCATCCAAAGTAAAATCAATTTTATTATTGACAGCATAAAATCAGTTTCTAACAGATGTGTTTGATAGACATTTGGATTATATTTTACTTATTGGATGTTATGACCAATTTTGCTATAGATACTCATGTACAACTTTTTGTTTGAAAACGTACTTTTTGTTCTCTTGGGCATCTGCCTCAGAGGCAGTAGCTAGGTGGCAGGGTAATTCCAACTTTCTGCTGTCCTCCTGCTTTGGACAGTAGCTGAGCCTGGTCACATCCCAACCAAGGGGCATGAGATTTCCAATTGTCTATGTCCTACCCACACTTCCTGTCTTCCATTTGTCTTTAATTTGTTGTTGTTGTTGTTTAACTCTGTCCATCCTGCTAGGTGTGGAGTATCACTTTATGGTTTTAATTCACATTTCCCTAATAACTAATGATACTGAGCATCTTTTCATGTGACTATTGGCCATTTACAGTATATGTTCTTTGGAGAAACATCTATTCAAATTCTTGGTTCATTTTTTAAGTGGACTGTCTTTTTATTTGAGGTGTAGGAGTCATAATGTATTCTGGATACTAGATACATACTTTACAAATATTGTCTCTGATTTTATGGATTATCTCTAATGCAGAAAAGTTTTTAATTTTGGAAAATCCAATTTATTTTTTCTTTTGTTATTTTCACTTTTGGTGTCATATCTAAGCTATTGGTGCATAATCCAAGGTCACAAATATTTACAACACTGCATTAAGAGTTTTATGGTTTTTCTCCTACATTTAGGTCTTTCATCTGTATAGAGTTAATTTTTTGTACCTAGTATGTGGTAGCTGTTCCAACTTCATTCTTTTGCATATGGATATCTAGTTTCACACCCTCCATCTTTGTGGAAAAAACTATTTTTTTTCCCCATCAGTTAATTCTGGAACTTTTGTTTTTTAAAAAAATATCAGTTGACCTGGGCTGGAGACATAGCTCAGTGGCAGAATGCTTGTCCAGCATGCGTAAATCACTGGCCTTGATCTCTAGCACTTTTTTGAAAAATCAGCTGACCATAGATGTTTGGATTCAAAGGCTTTTTTCTGAGATGGGACTTATTATATTGCCAAGGCAGGCCTCAAACTCCTGGACTCAAGCAATCGTCCTGCCTCAGCCTTACCAGTAGCTGGGATTGCAGTTGTATGCCATCATGCCTGATTTAAAGGCTTTTTATAAGCAGAATAAACTAGCATATGTTTGGGATGATTTAACATAAGCCTTCTCAGAAGTGATACTACTGAAGTTTGGGACTGGATAATTAATTCTGGGGTGGGTGGGCCATCTCTGCATTGGGGATATTGAGCACATCTCTGGCCAGTATCCACTGGTGCGAGTAGACATCTTGCTCATGACAATAAAGTGTCTGGAGGCATTGCCAGATGTCCCAGGGTGTAGTGGGGAGTGGAAGAGAGCTGCTCTGGGCAAGGACCACATGTGACCAAGAGTGTCCTGTGACCCTCTTGGGATCCACACAGCTGTGAGGCACTGGGGACTCCATGTGTTCAGCAGCAGGGAGCAGGTGTTCTGGTAGGGATGTCATCGGAAATGCATCCTGAGGGCAAGCAGGCTTATGCAGACAGACTCTTCCCACAAGGGTTCATCTCCCTGGATGAGCTCAGGCAGGCCTGGAAGCTGTTCAGCTTGCACATGGGCATCACTGGCACCGATGACTGCATCTGCAACCTGGCCCAGAGCATCGACTTCAACAAGGATGGCCGCATCGACATCAACGAGTTCCTGGAGGCCTTCCGCCTGGTGCAGCAGTCCTGCTCAGGGGACACAGCCTTTGGGCACATGCAGGACAGCAGCTGCGGTGGCTCCAGTGAATCCTGACAGTGCACGTCTGCTCTTGCGTCCCGGGCGATGCCCAGATTGCTGGGACTTGAGCAGGTAAACCTGCCATCACAGTGCATGAGGGTTGCCTTGCACTTGGGCTTGAAGGGGCAGATGGTGCGTGCATGTGTGTGTGTGTGTGTGCACACACGAGCATACATGTGTGTGCATGTGTATACAGGTACTTTTAGGTTTATAGTGCCCCATCCCCACCTCAGGTATAAGTATTTTTAAATTCTGAAGTCTACTCCAGTTAGGAACTACTGATAACCCAACCCCTTTATTGTTTTCATTTTATACCATTTTTGGAGGGGGATAAGAAAGGACTTACATTTCATTGTTCTTTTACATACATTTTTCTTTAAAACTCTAAGATGAACATTTTATTAATGTAATATGAAATGATTTAATTATGTGATAAACTTAATAAGACTGACATTCAGTGGAGAACAATAAATTTACCTTCATTAATCAGAAACACTTAAAGCCATTCTTATCTTATCGTCAGCATCTCTTACTAAAGCTTGTGGTTTTCATGAACTGCAGAGGGAGTGGCTGGCTGCATTAGAAGGGTCTTGTGCCACTCAGCTTAGTTCACACCATGCTTCTAAACATAATAATGCACATGTAACCCCAGCAATTTAGCTCTCACTTCTTTCACAGATTTTCAACTGTACACAGAGATTTTCAGCTATCCACATAATAGTAAACTCTTCTTGTTCTTTCCCTGGAGTCTGCATGCTTGCAGTGTGGGCAGTTCACAGTGGGGCGCAGCATGGACAGCTTGGTACCCTCCATTGCTGGCAGGGCGCTTGCAGAAGCACCTGGCCTAGAGCTGTGTTTGATCCAATGTGAGGCCAGTTAGTGACTTCTATTGTGTTCCATTGATTATGGGTTTTGCACAACCTTGTATGGACATCACTGTAAGAATGCCAAAAAGAACATTCTCAAAACCAGCTCTGCAAAAAAGCCAGCCAAAGAGCTGTGGAGAGCAGATGGAGAAAGCCATAACTTGCATACGCAGTGCCCAAACAGCCATGTTGAAGGAGCTATCTTCTTAGACCAGGGTTCGTAGATATGACACACAAAATGTCACAAGTAGTCATTTTAAAGATAAAAATAAGTAGTCACCATAACACCTGGAAGCAATGACGTCTTTGTTTATCTCAATGGGGCCACTTATTCCATGAAGCCAGATTCAGGAGCACAGGTGTGTGTTAGGTATAAAAATCTATTTCCCATAAGGTCCTGGCTGCTGTAAGGTCATTCAGGCCAGTGTGGTCTGAAAAGCCTAAGGCTTCTGGGCCAGGAATTTAGCTCAGTGGTGCCGCCGCCTGCTTTGCAAGAGCAAGGTCCTGAGTTCAATCCCTGGTACCAAAACAAACAAACAAAGAAACAAACAAAAGCCTAAGGCTTCAGATGTCAGAAATTTCAAAATGACTGTTCCAAGCCACCAAGCTCGGCCTTGAATTAACTGGAAGTTGAGTTCAGGTACTCCTAGTCTTTGAAGTTTACTTCTCTTTAGAACTCTCACTCACGTCATTATCAGCAATGAAGAATAATAAGAAGATAAGTACATTGGATTTCCTAACATCAATATAAAGCAAAGGATAACCAAAACCACATTCATATAAGTGAGCTTCTGGAATTTTCTTGGCTCTATGTACCCCAAACATACATGGGAAGTAATGAGGTTGACTGTATAAAAGTATAAACTGAGCAAAAAGCAGCATTGGAAGACAGAGGGCAACTTGATGTCTTCCATAATTGTGGGAGGATCTGAGAATCACAGATAAATGCACATCTGAAGCAGCAGGATGGATGTGAAGAAATTTTGCATCACAAAGGGCTTCGCGCGGCTGACAGTGCAGCACAGTGCTACCGTCAGTCCTGATGGTGTCCACTTCGGCACTCAGTACAGATGCAGAGGATCTCATCAGTCATCCTTTAAGATAAAAAATCACACCCATGTCAAAACTTGCAGGTCTCCCAATCCCCACAGCTCTCTGATTCACGTAGAGGTTTCTTTCTGGTGACCTCCCAGCAGGTTGATCTTAGCTTCTGCTCCAAGTAAATTCATTATTCCTCTGAATGTGCAATATGAGGACACCATGACTATTGACTCTGGATAAAGATGGATTTGTTTTGCTGCATTAATGACAAAGGCTATTCAGTAAGCCTGTGGTTCATAATCATCTACACTCCTTCTGCTTAAGTCACTTTCCTCCTCTGTGGGAAAAAATCCCAACACCCACAACTCTAAGGAAGAAAGGTTTATTTTGGATCACATTTTGTAGAGGTTTCAGTCCATAGTCCATAGTCGGTTGGCTCCAAGGAAGGGTGGCATGGCAGAGGGGCATCACAGAGGAGAAACAGTCTATGGCATGGAAACAGGATGCAGAGAATGGGATCAAGGGAGGAAGGAGGGTGATAGATCCTTCCAGGCCACACCCCTATGACCACCTTCTCTGATTCTGCTCCACTTCCTAACATCACATTCAGCTATAAACTCACGAGTTGACCAATCCATATCCCCATAATCCAGTCACCTCCCCACAGCCCCACCTATGAGCACGCAAGGTTTTTGTGGGATATCTAGATATAAACCATAATATCTTCACGAAACACAGGTGCTTCAGTAATGGTCTTGAAGTAAGAATGACAGCTGGGCATGTTGGCACGTGCCTGTAGTTTCCACACTCAGGAGGCTGAGGCAGGAGGACTGACATGAGTTCGAGGCCAACTTGGACTATGTAGTGAATTCAAGGTCAGCCTGAACTACATGGGTCTCAAAAATAGAAAAACAAAAAACAAAGATGAAGTAAGAATGACAATCCCATTTCAGTGTTGAAAGTCATCTTCCAAAAATTTCTTCCAAAAGTGAAAGGTGAGAAAAATGACAGTCATTTGCAAAGAGTTGTTAAATGTATCCAGTGCAAAATTCCCACAAAGGCAGTGATGCCCAGGGCGGCTTCTGCCTGCGGGAAGGTGTGCGGCTCAGGCCTCCTCCCCTCCATACATGAGTCCTATATGGCCAGCAAGTCGAAGCCTCTCCCTGCACACAGCCTCCCCATGCAAACCCACCCTCATTTTATACCTTTATTTGTTGTTTTTTAAATGTCATACTGGTAAAAAAAAAATTTTTTTTTTGGTACCAGGGATCGAACTCAGGACCTTGTGCTTCTGAGGCAAGCGTGTTGCCACTGAGCTAAATCCCCAGCCCAGTTACTGAAAATGCAAATTTATTCATTATTTACTTTTCCTTACTTGTTTTAATTATACCGCTATATCATTCTATGTTCTACTTTTTCACTGTTTACATCTAAGTGTAAATACTTTCCCACATTGCTACATAGTCTTTGTAGTTCTTAGTATAGTTGTCACTTTCCTTTCGAATGAATGTACAAAAGTTTATCCAGACCCTTTCCAGTTGTTCAATGTGTGTATTGTTTCCAGCTTTTTGTTATTGTAAATAACACAGTGGTTAATAACTTCACCCATAAAGCTGGTTTTATAAATATTCTGTGTTTTTTTTGAGATAGGGTCTTGCTATATAGTCCAGACTGACTTTGAACTTACTTCAAATTTCACAACACTCTTGCCTAAGCCTCCAAGTGCAGGAATTGCAGGCATGTGCCACCATGTCTGACTTAAAAATCTTTTGAATTACATATTTTCTTAGGATAAAAATCCCAGGAATAGGGTTACTTTATCAAATAGGTCTTGAATGGGTTTAGGACAGTGATGGCAAACCCTTTAGAGGTGGAGTGCCCAAACTGCAACCCCAAACCCACTAATTTATTGTAAAGTGCCAAACTGCAATTAAACCTAAATACTGAGGTTTTAGTTTATCGGAAAACAACTGTTGGGCTGGGGATTTAGCTCAGTGGTATGGTCGCTTGCCTTGCAAGCTCAAGGTCCTGAATTCAATCCCTGGTACCAAACAAACAAACAAACAAACAACTGTTGTCTGATATTCAGCTGCTGGGGCAACTTGGCTCACCTGCTAACAGAGGGGGCTCTGTGTGCCTGCTGGGACAGGTGTGCCATAGCTTTGCCACCACTTGCTTAGGTTCTCCAGATGAACTGAACTAATAGAGGAGACAGATAGATGATAGAGTGATAGGCAGATAGATAGGTAGATAGATAGACAGATAGACAGATAGACTAATGTAAAATGTACTTGAAGGGATTGGCTCATGTAGTTATGGAGGCTGAGAAGTGCTCAGATCTGCAGGTGGAGAGCTAGAGACCTTAGAGTTCCAGTGCTATAGGGTTCCATGTGTCTGAGTGGGCAGGAGACTGGTGTCCCAGCTTGAAGGCAGCTAGGGAGAGGAAGAATTCTTTTTTGTTGCACCTTCCCAAGCTGCAAGGCCAAAGTGGCAAAGCCTCTCCTCTCCTCCCCTGAAGCCCCAGCCCTGGAGACAGGACTCTCACCAAGGCAAGGAGCCCAAGGCTCTATGGACACCAGGGGCAGGGTGAGGAGTTCAGAAAATTCCAGTGAAGGCAGCCTGAGGCATCTTGGTGTTGGAGAGCTGAAGAAAAGGAAGGGGGAGCAAAGGAAGGTCTGGAGGAGGAAAAGGAAAAGAGGAGGCAGGAGGAAGCAAAGTGGAGAGGGGAAAGGAGGATGCTAAGGGAAGGACTGCAGGGCAGAAGCCCAAGAATGGCCAGAGGTGGCAGGAGGAGTCAGCCTGGGGGATGCTGAGAACCCTCAGGGATCTTCACTCCTGAGACTTGGTGGCAGAACAAGCAGAAGCAATGAGAAAGTCTGTGCGGAGACTCAAGTCAGGTAACCTCTGGAGCAGCACAGGTGTCCAGGAGAGAGAGCAGCGGGCTTCCTGTCCCTGCCCCTGCCAAAGGTGCAGTAGTATCCAGAGCCTGTGGGACAGTGGGGCTGCAATTTTACCCCAGATAAGGAGATGCTGGCCTGCAGCCAGGAGCTTGAGTACTCTGAAACATTATTTGAATTAAACTCCTCTACCTTTCTTAGTCATTGCTATTTGTCTAAGTTGGTAATGCATTGAAATTTCAACAGTATGTTAATTTTTCTTGTTGTACTTTCCCCTTAGTCCTTACTGACTCACTGCATTTATAGACAATCTAGATATGAGTTCTTATTTTAACCCCCATGTCTTTATTCTTCACTGTGATGGTGAAAGAGGACTCCAGGGTCCTGGCAAAAATGTTCTGGTGTAGACAACATGCCCTGTGTCATTATCTACCCTCGCACATCATTGGACTTAACCAAAACTGTCATTGTCTCGATTCCCAGCACACTGGGAGAGCCTCCCAAATACTATTTTCTAATCCACACATTTCCCTGGAAGGGCAAGCCAGGACAGGGATGGCCTGAGGAATGTCCACTGCCTCCTGAAGCCTGTTTTTTTCTTCACCAGGAAAGGCCAGTGGAGTTCCCTATCTTTCAGCACACCTGGGCCAAAGGAAGGAAAACCACCAAGACTGCACAAATCGTCCCCC